CTCCAAAGGCTTCATCAAAAAGAGACTCCAAGTTCTGGTCCTGGCTGTAATTGAGAGCTCCCCTGTAGCTGTGGGATCAGCTCTCCCAAGGCAGAACAGCAATGAAGTTGTAGTTCACAACTTCAAATTGCAGCTGAAATACAGGGGGAGGTTTGGGCAGATCTGGCATTCCCAAAAAGCGTCCACCTGGACACCATCTAACAGCTCTTAGGAGCAAACCCTCTGCCTGGAAATCAGAAACACAGCACCAGAAACCACTCAAATACAATCTAGTCACAAAAACTTTAACATTAAGCACTGACACCTGATTAATAGTTTTGCCTGTATGTTCCTAATTGCACCTTCTGGGTTCTCCAAGCCCTTCATCTGTGGCAGGTCTGGCCCATGATGTGCCATCAGTTAAACAGTAATGAGAGAGGCATTTCCTGGAGCTAGTGACCATCTGTGAGGAGCTGAGAGCCCACAGTTATGCCACAGGCAGTTGTCCCCAACTTATTGCTCATCCCACAGAAATGTCACATGCCAAGGTCACTACTGATTTCATAAGCAGGATATAAAAGCATCAAGGTAGGCCTGTGGAGTTCTGGGTTATGTGCAACATGATTTCCATGGCTATTCCAACACAATTCCAGATCAGCTATTCCAGGTGAGCTGGACTATACCTGTCTAGTGCTGTTGGGATGATAAGGTGGCCTTTGGTCACCCATCCTATTTTATATTTGCTTTACATTTGTTGATGCTTTATAAACATGCAAAAGGATTTGCTTTGCTTGTTCAGAAGAAAAAAAAAATCATTCTAAAGGAGAGAAATACATCAAAAAAGTTATTTAGAGAATAACAGGGAAAGGAAGGCAAAAAGGATCTGGTTTAAAGGTTGAGGGAACTTCCAGCTACGTGGAAAATGAAATCCTTTTCAGATGCAAATAAGAGTCTCAGATGTTCTTGGTTTTCAACTTTTTTGAAGGCTTGGGACAGAGTTCTCTATGTGCTGCAGACTAATCTGGCTTGCTGCCCTAAGCTGAGGTGTTATTCCAGTTTGCAAGAGCCACAAGGAAACCCCTGTGCATTCTTACAATATTACTTTTAGTAAAACATCACTAATTAAATTTCCTTGGTCAAACATCTCGCTAATCTGCAGTGTCTGTTCAGGTAGGTCCCCAAAGGCCTTCCTGGCTGCATCTTCTGTGTAACATTTGCTCATCATTGAACTTCTCTGCTTTTAATCCCTCCCTCTGAAAAAAAAAAAAAAAAAAAAAAAAAAAAAGGAGAAAAAGAAACACCACAGAAACCACCACCACACTTAAAATCATGTCCCAGTCCCCAAACCAGGACATTATTCTGGTTTCAGAGGTCAGCACTGCATTTCAGCAACCCCCTTCCTTAAAGCTTCTGACCACTGTTAGATGAAAGGTTTTGTTTCTCTTTCTATAGACTGTATAACTATCAAGCACGTGGGAATTTCTTGTGCTTCTTTCCACTTCTTTCTCCCCCCTCTCTTTTTTTTTTCTTAAAGAAATGTAGATTTATTTTCATTGCATTTTAATATGATATGTACCAGTACGTTGCTATAAAGCTTCTTCATTTCATCACATCTTTTTGACAGCTGGGATAGATCCCCTTCATATTTCTGAATTAAATCCTGTAATAAAATAAAACTTCTTAATTTGCTGTAGGAGCATAATATTAAAGCAGGAATTAAACAGCAGTGAAAACAAGATAATTCAAGTCAAAATTTTCATGTCACAAAAATTTCACATTTCACAAAAGAGAAGCCTACACCAAGCACACATATTTCCTTGCAAGTATTAAGTCTTCAAAGATGGAAAAAAAAAAAGAAACATCAAGGTTAGAGAATTTTAACTGTATTATTCGATGACATTACCTAAATTATTAAAACTGACAGAACTAGACAAGTATCAGAAGGTCCTAATTTCCACCACATTTGGCCTTTTTGCATGTGAAGCAAACACTCCCAGTTGCTGGTTCTTAAGGAAGCAGAAATAGAAACTTAAGTTTTGGAGTTAAATTCCTTAATTATGGTTCCTTTGTAATCTATGTATTTTTGACAGCTGAACACGTATGGAAGAAGCACCTGGCAAGGTGTTCCAAAGGAGAAGGAAACACATGGATTGAGCAGATGCTGCCCCTGCCCAGTGAAGCTCAGCACAGAGATAGCTGGGACAGCAGAGATGGACGTGTCCACACCAGAGTGGGGAAACCCTGAACTGGCATTAGCCCAGTTCACAACCAGCACAACAGTGCTCTTGAGTTATTAATTCTCTGTGCCTGAGCTATCAACCCCTCTGCTGACTCCTGGCCAAAGCTGGGCTTCCTACAGCCTGCTCAGCTTCCTCCCCCTTGTGTCCTCCAACCCATCCTGTTCTGTAACCAGCAAGGGCAGAATAAACTTAGATCAACCTGTAATCACAAATTAGGCATGGCCTTGGACGATGCATGAGCAGAGCCATCTTAGATCAGCCTATAATTACAATTTAGGCATGGCCTTGGATGGTGTTTCTTGGATGGTCTCTTTAACCAAGTAACATTGACAGGACAAGAGGAAACAGCCTCAAGCTGTATCAGGGTAGACTGAGATTGAATATTAGGAAAAATGTATTCATTGAAGGGGTTATCAAGCATTGGAACAGGATACCCAGGAAGTGGTAGAGTCATCACAGGGATTCAAAAGATGTGTAGGTGGGGACATGGTTTAGTGGTGGCTTTGGCAATGATAGGTTTATGGGTGGGCTCAGTGCTCTCAAAGGTCTTTTTCAATCTAAATGATTCTATGATTGTCTGTGCTATCTCCCCTTCTATCTGAAAGCAGAAGAAATCATTACAAATTCACATGTGCTCAAAAATTCCTATTATTGCAAAATGCTTGTCATGGACCACTATGGGGCTGCCTGTTCCTCATCCACTCCATCCCATTTATCTGGTGAAGCAAAAGCAGGAGATGCAGAAACCCGGAAAACCCTTCCCATGCTGCAACTTACACTGTGAAATACTCTCAGAGGGGAATAAAAAAACCACTTTTCCTCAAATGCTCCTGATTCCCTTGTCAGGGCAGGTCTCAGACAAACTAACAGGTTACTCATCACTTACCTCCAGCCCACAAGAAAGCTGTAGTAACTTTACCTTTAGTTCCTTGCAGAACTGTAATTCCTGGGGTGTTGCCTTGATTGTCTTGGGTTTAATAAGCCTCCTGCACTGAATAATGTTTTCCAATTCTTTTCTTAAAACTAACAAAAGAGAAAGAAAAGGAGGAATTTCACCAGCGTGCAGATGTGACCAAAGGACTACAAATGTCTAATTTAGGACACAAGGAAAATTTAGGAGAATATAGGCCTATAATATGTTTATCCAGGAATATTAACTTTCTATTTTGAAGTAGAAACCCTGAAAGAGACATTTTATTATGGAAAAAGTAGTATGTGATCACATCACTGCAGAATAATGAAGAGGTCAATAGCATGGTGATGCAGCGGTCATAAATCTGGCCTTTCCTAGCTCTGGGCATTGGGATTAGCCATGAAAATAACACACTTCAAACCTATATTTTTGTGCAGAAAGTTCAGGGTTCCTTAAAGATAAAAGAACAAAAATTCTCTTCTATGCAGCAGTGAGAAACGTTGTCAGTTGGCACCGAGCACAGCACTGGTCTGCCATCCTGGGAGCTCCCACTCTGGGAAATGGGGGGAAAGAGCTCACTGGCATCTCCTGGCACTGTTCAATGGTGAGTTGTAAATATCTCCCCAAACCAATCTGACATTTGAACAACCTTATTCTCTTCCCTCCTCCTGACTTCACTGGTGTTGGACTCCTGTCTAGAGAAGGAAACCAGTTTGGTTCAAAGTTCTTGAAGTCCAGGACTGAGCTGCAGGAAGTTTTCTCCTGGTGCATTCCCAGCTCCCAGAGAATCTGCTACAGCTGTGACTTTGATGGAGCATTTGTAGCACTTCACATTTGTATTCTATGATAAACTCTATTTACCATGGGCAGTATATATTTTTTTTTTTATTTCTAAATCACCTGGACACACTTTAATATTTCCTTTTTTTTTTTAATTCTTCTAGGTAACATGGCAGCTTAAGTATCACCATAGCAACACTTCACCTCAACGTTTTGAACCTTTACCTCTCTTTACAAACTACAGAAGTGCAATGAAAGCCTGTTCCAAATGACTGCACAATGTATGAAAACCTTTCTCTGGATGTAGAGACCATATTTACATACCATCAACTTCAGCACTGAGGCCCTTCATGGAAGCTGGAAAGGAAGAGAGGGGGGAAAAACATGTTAATAAATATAATTCATATCGTGAGGATGGGAGTTTCCACAGAAGTTGAAGGCCTTCATGTTTTATTTGTTGATTATTTTTCCCCCCTCCCTCCTCTTACCATCAGGAACAGCTTCAAATTCTGTCAACTCCTGAGAAAATGTGGCCAGATCAGGCTCATGTAAGAGGATCTGTTCCACAAGGGCGTGAAGCAAAGTGAACGTCCTCTCTTTACCCCTCAGCAGAGGTAACTGCAAATAAAGCAGAGCAATGATTGACAGACTGAGCTGTTACACCTTAAAAAATAAATAAATAAATAAATAAATAAATAAATAAAAGAACAGCAGGGCTGTTGATAGTTCCCAAGTAAGTTTGACAAGAATAGAACACAACAAAATTAAACTTCTCCTTTTCAATCTGCCGTTTCACACACATTCTTGATTAAGATCAGCTTTCCACTTCCATATCCCTTGACCTTGCTTCTTGTTCTCTGTCTTATTCACACAGATCTTTTTAAACTGAAGGTATCCTAATTGATTGCAACTGATTTTGGACCTCCAAGCAACCACAGCCATTATTCCTTTCCACTCAGAAGTAGTGTGCTGTGCTCATGAAGAGAGCAAAGTTCCTTAATTGAATCTGGGAAGATGCTCTGTGGCAGAAAAAGATTTTGTAGGCATTTTTCATTATGATAGATGTGGTATTACAGGCATTATATATATAAAGATAATAAAAAAAAGAATGCAAATTTTGTTTCAGAATTGCCACTGGACTTATAAATCATTCACTCATATATTAAAGTCTCCAGATGGGAAAGATATCTTATAAAAACAAAGTAAAAATCCTTCTCTCTTCTGTTTACAGATGAGGCATAATTTTACAATACTATTAAAGGCACAAGCAGCTTAGGAAATTTGTATCTGTTTCTTACTTTTTAGGTAAGAATATTATACTTTGCAACTGCTGGATGGAGGAAGGGGGAAAAACCCTATTTTCAGCAGCAGCATTTTCTGATGGCAAATTCTGATGAAGAGGGGAAAGCAGGTTGCTTAAAACTAATGGAAAACTCAGGCTAATGTCACACAAGTTGTAGGTCAGTGAAGAGGTAATTAGAGAATTAAGAGCTAGATGATGCTTGTTGTACAGCAGATCTCTGTGAGGAAAGAGTGAAGACCACAACTTCAACTTTCATCCCCTATTAATCATCCAGCAGAGCAATGATGGGGGGTTAAAAGCATTGCAGGAAATTTCACTCCCTTTCAATTTGTTAATTTGTTTAAATTCTGCTTTTGAAATTTTACTTTAAAATGGCCACGTACCGCTTGTTGCAAAAGACACCTAGATTCATGGAATCATAGAATGGTTTGGGTTGGAAGGGACCAACCTCCCCATCAGGGCCTCACCACCCTCACAGGGAAGAATTTCTTCCTAATATCCCATCTAACCCTCGTCTCTGTCAGTTTGAAGCCATTCCCCCTTGTGCTGTCACTCCAGGCCCTTGGAAAAAGTCTCTCTCCATCTTTCTTGTAGCTCCCTTTCAGGTACTTGAAGGCCACCAAGCCCCCACCCAGCCAGTGCTGCTGTCTGAAATGGGGAAATGCATCTTTTTATCACAGTCATTCAAGAATATAATGTCAAACAGGATTTTTAACGGCAAGAAAATATTTACTCACTTTGGCCAAAGACGACAATCGAAATCCTCTCGCCACCTCTTTTCCAGCCTTCTCATTTAGATGGTTCCCAATGGCTAAAATGTACTCCAAAACAGCAACAAACTTCTGGCTGGATTGCAGCTGCTTACTGGCTTGGATCTTCTGGTTTATCAGCTGAAAAACACACACAGATCTTCCTTCAGTTCAGACTGGAAATGTGGGTAAATCCGTGGGGCCCCTGTGCCGAAGCCTCACCGTCCCCACCTGAAGCAAGTCACACCTCACCAGTGACATCTTCCTACTCAAGTCCCTCAAGGAAACAGGCCTGGGGTTTTTGGGAAGGACCAGTTAAAACTCTCCCACCCAGATAAAGCTGTGTTGGCACAGTGACTGCCCAAAAGGAGGTCACATCCTCTCTGGCTGCCAAAACCACTTCAACTCATCTCTTAAAATGCCTCTGCAGAAGAAGTGTTTTGCTGTTTGAATGCACCAGATTGCACCAAATGTCAGGTACCAGGGGAAGCAGAGCCTCGAGCTCAGTGTGGGGCTCTCCAGCTTCCACCTCCCTCCCTTCTGTTTATACCAGCTCAAAACTGTTATCAGAATTCTTAGCACTGTTTTCCCACAAGGAAGAATAATGATTTCCTGTAATCAAATTCAACATAATTCTGTTTTCCCAGGGAAGCCACCTCCCTTCTAAGGCTATGGACACAAGAGGTGGTTTTGTTTTCCACGAGGAAATTTGTATTTTTTTAGCACCACACCTCTTTTCGTCAGCCACCAACACACAAACTTAAAAACAGGGAAAGGTGGAAACACACAGGAGAGCTGAAAGCTGTTGTTAAAACATTTATAGCACATCTCAGGGCCAGAGAGGGCTGAAAGCCAGTATTCAGGTTGTCCCATAGAATTTTAAGTGTATATTCTATGATTTAAAAACAGATATTAGTGAGCATAAGTAAGAAAATACTTAGACAACTGATCAGTGAACATTCAATGAACATCAAACATCAGCCAAATCAAACAGTGCATATAACAACTTCTAAATATTCAGGTATTTGGCTTCACTGGAGGACAGCAAAGGTGTGGCAGTGCACCAGGCAGGGTCAGAAATCTGGGCATGTCCCCTGTGTTTTCCATCTGCTCCTCTTCTGAGTTTTGTCCACTGTCACCATGGTTTTAGTCACAGCCAGATAAAGGACAACAACTTGGTCTTGCAGAACTTTCACATTTTGTTTTCATTCTCATGCAGAAGGAGAGCAAAACCTCTGAAACATTTTCATAGAAGCAGAATCGTGTCGAAATACTTGTTTTGAACCAAAGCATAGACAAAATCTGGCAGGGAAGGCAGTGGTTGGAACAGGAAGGTCCAGTCATGAGACTGTTTATTTGCATCCCCCCCCTTAGGTCCTCCTGAAAAAAGGCAGAGAGGGACTTGAGCTCTGGTTCCTGATAGTTCAGTTCACCCCTGTAATCCTTAGGAGGAACATTCTCCTTCAGTCTTCTGCAAAGAGGAAATTCTCTATGAATTTCAAATAAACTTGCTCTATGTCTTTCAGCTTGATTCTTTCAGCTTGTGCAAGAACCTCCCCACAAAGGAAGGTGAATTTTAGTGGTGAAATTCACTTCTCACTGGTCAAAGAAAGAGGAAAGTTTAACAACACCAAATAAAAAATTTGGAAGCCCTTTCCTGTTCTTTTCTCCCTCTTTTGTGGAAGTCTATTCCATTGCCAGGCCCATCAGCTACTGCTTCTTGCATCTTGGTGGAATAAGGGTGATGTTAAATGCACATATTAGAAAAAAAAGGATCTGCATTGAGGTTATTTGGCCCTCTAGTATCAAAGGGGTAGATTTTGCTGACAAACACACAGTGAAGGACTCATGTTACTCACAGGCTCCAAATCTCTCATGCTCTCAGGGAGCTCACGAACAGTGAGCAGGAGATCCAACCTCTGGCCCAAGTGAGGGATTTTACACATCTGCACAGAGTTGAACAGAAAGGGAATCAAAACTCATGTTTATACCAAAACATGCACATATACTTTGTAATTTATTGAGCAATTCAGCTAGACTGTAGCTTTCCTAATTTCTGTGCTCATTTCTTAGTTTTATTTGAGGTCTGTGGATTTACTATGGTGCACACCTGAATGTGCACATTTGCATATGCAAATTCAAATATGCTGGTAGGGTCAGACATTATTAAAATCAATGACACTCCTTTTTTGTGAACAAGAATGTTTAATTACACACAATTTTCTGCTTGTATATTTTGGAAACCTAGCTCAGAATAAATCAGCTCCTATTTTGGAGCAAGGGGAGGGGGTGTGACTTGGAGAAGCAAAGGACTCCACAGAGCTCTCTTCTGATTATTAGAATATATTATCAGAATAATCTGAATATATATCAGAATAATATTATCAGAATAATCCTCTTATGCTGATTCTGGGTGAGACTGTAAATTTAATTTCCAAACAACAGTGGTTTTACCTCAGAGAATGCCCTAGAAATGGCATGTGGTGACTTTTAATGCCTCTTACCTCTAACATAAACTGGTCAACCACGTGCAGCTCTGAACACGACCCCTTGAATGACTGGTACCTTTCTGCATCTTTTGCTGTTGGCATGTATCTGTAAAACAGAAATTAAAATTGAATGTCCTCTTCCTCTTCGTTCTGTATTGTGGCAACATAAAACAATCATTCCATTCCATGCACTGGAATTTCTTACATTTAGTGTGGTTTATGTGTTGCATGTTAATTCTTTAATCAGTGGGACTCCTGGCTCTGCACAGACACCCCACCAATCCTTGGGAACAGTCATCTTCTTTGCCATTGTTTTTGCAGGTTTTTTCACTTGCTCAAATAATGGCAGCACATAACACAGACCCACAACTTCCTTCCTTCTGCACGAGGCCACAGAGTATATTCTCCAGGGTCAGAACTCCAGGGCCACAGATTTTTAGAAAATTGATGTCTTCAAATATTGACTCCACTTGGAAAAACAAACACATCACCACAGTTCTCCTTTGGAGATCTTCCTGCCTGTCTGAGTGCTCACTATGGGAATTCACAGCATATCTTCAGCAAAATGAAATCGATGTTATAGCAAACATATGAGAAGGAGTGTAAAGAATCTTAAATAAGTATTCGGGTCTATCTTCTCTTTCTCTTCAAAAAACCTACTAAATTTGTAGCAAGTGTGATTAAACATTCATGGGGGTAGCTCTACATTTTCATTAAAAGTGATTTATTCAGAAATGGAAAAAATAAAGCAAATATTTTAAATGTTAAATACAGGACAAGAAGTAAGATTTTTTTTTTTTACTGTTGTCAGTAATTTGACATTTCAATTCAATAATGGCTAGGGTTTGAATTATTGAGTCTATATTAAAGCAGATTACAAAATAGTACTTTTTTCACCCTTTATCAAAAAGAAATAATTGAATTCTCATTTAAAGATAAGTTAACTGTTGGCAAATGAAAGGGTGTTTATCACTGAAAAAAGTTTGACTTTTTAAGCAAATTCAAACAACGTGTTTTTAAAAACTGACAGCAAATATCTTCATTTAATCAAATGTCTGATATTCCATAAAATTGTTTAGATGTCTTATGTATATAAAACAAAACCAGCAGATTATCTAGGAGATTTAAAGCTTAAAGCACTGAACAATGGAAGCCATGAAAAAGGAAGCACAAGAATATGTGAATACATTCCATAAATATCTTTGTACATGAATGCAACTCTAATGGAATTTGCACAATGGAAAAATCCCATTGCTCTGAAAAAAATTAAGTTTAGAGAGACAAGGAGTGCTTTCCTATTGATTTTAAGACGTCAGGATAAAGAATCATTCAGAGAATTATGGAAAGGTTTCCGTGTCAAATTAAGTCCTGAAGTTTCTAATAATATCCCACCGCTGGACACATGAGCAGAACATTCAACTCAGAGGTCACAGTCTTGAAAATGTAATCTTGGGTTTGACTTTAAATATTTTTTCATTCTACAGTAGTAGAATTTTGACTTCCTGCTCAGGCTCAGGCAGTCTGACAGGAACAATTTGCACAGAGAGGGATTTTCCAGCCCCGGATTATCCTGTTTGACCTCCTGTCCTGACCACAGGTTCTCCACCAACTGGAGGCCACAGTTTTCAAAGGTAAAGTTTTCCACCATGACACCTAAATCAGGTGGAAAGGTTTTCAAAAGTGTTAAATGTCCTGCTAAATCCACCACAGCTCTTCGTACCAGAGAGACTTGGGAGTGCTGATGTTCCATGAGAATGTCTGTCTGCTCCTTTGATTTTCCACTTGGAAATCCAAGCCTTAATTCTGAGATGCATCTCATTTATTTCACTCACACTTAAAACTGCTGGGGTGGAAAAAAATTATCTCCTTTTTACTGCAAGATTTGTATGTGCGTTCCTAGATTTTGGCAATAAATAATAATTTCAGAGACAGAATCCTTGAACCCATAGCTTGAATCCTTGAAGCTATATAACATTCAGCAAATACAGCATCCAATATCTCTTACATATTCCATTGCTAGAAAAATTTCCTCAGCATTATTGCTCTCGAAGAAAGACTTAAAGGAAAAAAAAAACAGGATCTTTCAAGCTTCATTGCCATCATTATTACTATTATTATCTGATGGCAAGGAGCCCAGATGCTGTAAATCAGGGATCTCAGTGGTGTCACACTGGTTTCAGCAGCGTGGAGATCCTGGACTGAACCTGCAGTGCTGCAGGAAGAGGTTTCTTTTTTGAAGGAGCCTTTCAGATCAGCTTTTGAATGGTAGCAGAGCTCCATCACCCTCAGTGGGGCCATGCACCTTTCCCCAGCTCATAATTGTGCACCACTGTGGGGTGTAACTGGTAAAGCACTGGGGCAGCAAGGAAACATCCTCCAGAACACTGGGACATAAAAAACACGTAAATATTCAGTTTCCTGTCCATGTCCCTTCACATTTGAGGCAAGCTCTGCACAAGTCATGTCACAGAATAACATTAATTCTATGTTAGCTGTCTGTTCTTGTGCTCACAACACTTCCTAAGTGCTCACATGATCCTGCAGATCATTTTAAAATTGCCTCTGATGTACTGATTTGGATCAGGATTTTAAGGCCAAGATTAAACTGATTCCATGAGAAGCAGAAACATCAATTATTTACTTCCTCACTTTCTTTGTCAGTCTCATCTTTTTTCCAGCTCACTTTAACAAAACACTCTAATCTTTTCTCATTTTGAAGGGAGAAGCAGTTTCACATCAAGTTTTCATGTGTGAATATGTTTATTAAAGTAGTCCAAGTACCTCATGGGGACTGGGATGTATAACAGATACTACTCTAGGATCCCACTTCTTTCCTTCCTTTCTATGTCTTAAACTATTCAAAAAGACACAATGCAGTTCCTATGAATTTCATATAGTTTGATTACACTCCTGAAATCTGTTCAGTTTTGCTAAAGATACAGAAATTTGCATTCTGCTTTAAACCCACGAATCTCTGCCATTGACATACTGATATTCTTAACACCCCATCACCTTATAAAGTTCCTTTAACACTTGTCTACCTTCCTTATCTCCAAACCAGTCTTAAATCTTTCATTTCTCATCCCACAATAGGTTGTAAGGTTGTAGTAAGAGATCCTGTAAAGTCTTGTCAAGTCAACACCTGCTCACTGACACAACTTATTATTTTCCCAACTCTGCTCTTTGTAACTAGTTCACAAAATCATGGTGGATTTGCCATTACTTTGCAACTCCCTTTCCTACAAAGATGAGGAAAAGTGATATTTTGGGGCTGTATTCAAAAATCTCAATTGCAAGAGCTGATTTCTGTGTGCAACCTGACATCCACAGTCAGGATAAATCCAATGTCTCAGTCCATCCATGAGCTTCACATTATTTGCAGAAGGTTCTGCCTTCTCCAAAGGGTACCTTATAACATAAACAAACAACTGAACCCCCAAAATTACCTCCTTAGTGCTGTAATCTGCTCATCTGTGAGTCCACCACTCTCCTCATGTATGATGTACAGTTTTTCTTTCAGCTCACTTGGTTTGATACGGAAACTTTTAAGAAAAATGTCTGGAGGAAAAGGATTCTTAGATTACTCAGAAGGAAAATCACCAAAATATCTCGTCTGTACTTATCAGATTTAAAAAAAAAAAAAAAAAAAAAAGGAAGAAAGAAAGAAAAAACCCATAACAAACAAACAGGGAAAAAAGCAAAAAACCAAAATATTTAGTAGCTACCGTCATTAAAGCAATAATTTAATCTTTGTATTTTCTTTAAATTTACCGAACAATAGTCAAGGAAAACCAAATTTCTTTCATAAGATAGTCAATGTTTAGGATAGGACTATCAAGATAAAATTTTGGGGAGGTACTCAATACTTGCTCATATGTATTTCTCTTGTACTCAGCTCAACAGTTAAAATCATTTTTTTCCACATAACAGTACAGTAAGTTGGCACAATATTTTGAAGGTTAAAGGAATTACACTTTCCATTTCTTTGGATTTTGTTTACTTGCTTTGTTTAATTTCCAGCAAGAAAACTTACTCCCAAAATGAAGGCAAACTAGGAAACAGAAGTGCTCACTTCTTCCTAAAATCCTAAAATCTGATGTTTTTGTAAAGTTTAAGACTTCTGTGCTGATACAGGGCTGGCTCATAGCATGCATTATGACAGGAAAATGCAAATAAGATGCCTCTTCCCCAAAGAGGTGAAGGTCATCATTTAGACAAGTAAAAATTTGTAAGGATGTTGCTCCCAAAAAGACCACTTTGTCCTGGCAGTTATTCTTTAATTACTGTCTGTCTCCCTCATTGGTACTGAAGGATGGAGGTAAAAAAAAAAAGAATCACAAGGAAGTGAACGAAGGGCAGCAGCAGAGAAAGGGAAAATGTTTAAATGCTTCCCATTGCTGGCACGAGACTTGCCCTGGAGTCTCTGCTACACCAGAACTCCTCTGAGCAGCACAAAGGGATTGTGAAGGAGAATTTGAGAAGGATTTGTATGATTTACCTTCTTTTCAATTCAATTCTATAAAGGAACAGAGTTTTTCAGGTTAGAGGAACTTGCTGTGGCCCGAGGCAGCTGATAATGGTTCTAGAGACTGTTGGCCAGTGGAGTACAGATCATTTATTCTTCCTCTGACACACTCTACACCCTCTGAATTTTGTTATAAGATCTGTGCTTTAGTGCTAAGCCTGGCAGAACTTTCCTTTTTTCCTTCTTGTGCTTTTTATGCCTCATATCTATATTGCTTCCCTATGTCTTTTACACTGTGTGTCTCTTCAGTGGTGGGGAATCACCATAACAGTGAATAACTCACAGTAAAACATTGATTTTATAATCTTCACAACCTGTCCACAAAGCATTTAAAATTGTCTTGAACGTTTTCTGTAACTGATATCAAGACACTGAAGAAATTCGAGTCATCAGACTTTGTCAAAGTATTTTCCCAGGCAAAATAAGGATACTATGTGGGAAAGGGGGTCTCATACTGAGAAACAGGCACCAATCAAGACACAGAAGCTGGTATTTTGACTCCTAAATCAGTTTTTCACCCATTAGATCTCATGTTCTTGGGTTAACATATATATTATAATGTCTCCCAAAACTTTGCACTGGAAATCTGAGGATGTTTTTCTTGTTTCTTCCTGATACCTGTTCTCTGTATGGCAGAAATTTATTTTGTCTACAAGAATCCACGAGATAACTTAGCTTTTATTTGTATTTTCTCACACATTAGACTCAAATTCAGTGTATAGATCTACTCTCAGAACTCTCATTTCTCTCTTGTGTTCAGAAACCCACTCAAATTCTCCACAAATTTTAACCTACTGGCAATTTTGGAGCTTCATCCTTTTATTCATTAAATTAAGAACTGCAGTTTGCAGCACTTGCAGGAAGATTAATCAGAATTCTAAGGATCAAATTAACTTTTGATCTAAGTAACATCCATTATAATAAGTGTATGCCAAAAATCTCACTTATGGAACTTTAAGGATGAGATTAAGAAACAGATGTAGAATGTCCCATTGAAAAAATAGTTGTAAGAGGAACAGGATCAAAAGGAGGAATGGTGCTATTTGCAAACCAAAAGAAAGAAGTTTCCTCAAAGAAACTGCAATCATTTAGTAGATAAAAGTGCTATTACAAGATTCTTTTATCTGCAACAGCACTTCTGTATCACTCTCTTCCTTTTAACCCTTCAAATTGTTAGTCAAGGGATGCAATAATTCCAAGTTATCCCCATTTAAAGTTCCCAATTAAAACTTTACATGATCTCCAAAATACATTCTTTCTTATTAATATTCATAGAGAAGAAATCATTAAAACTTCAAAATTAACTGCCCCAAATTCTTTACACATGTAACACTTCTTGAAACATCTCTAGGTTATAGAGCTTTTTTGGAAAGCCATCTCTGTAACAGAAATCAGAGTGGTCTTTGAAGAACAATTAGTCTTGCTCCTTTAATATCTACCAATTCTCATTAAAAGGATTGAAAGACCTTTACATCATTTTATTAGAAAGAGCAGAACTATGTGTTGAACTCCTTCATTAGCCGTGAAAGACTGTTCTAGGTCAGGTCTTTGGTAGAATCCTGTGATAAGAGAGGGAAGGATCCTGTTCAAGACAGTCATTCACAGCCTGAGCCTTCAGCCAGAGGAAGGCCAAGAATTCCTGAAATCTGGCTTGTAGCTGCCTCAAAAGCCTCTTATGCCAACCCACCTACACCTACATGAATTTCTTGACCTCAGTGCAGGAGAGAGACTGAGCACAGCACTCAAACTTCTGGCTCCCAACCTGCTCCTGTTGACTTTTCTCCACCTGAACAACCCACAAAATTTGAAAAGCCTCTGAAGTCAGTCTTACATTGATTTCACAGGTGACACACATGATTTCACATGTCTGCTCTAAGACAACAACATCACAGCTCAATGGCACTTCCACATGTTTTGTACAAGAAGAGAAGAAGCTTTGGGCTTCACCTCTACATCATTAAGGACCACTTTTGGAGCAACTCAGCCATGAGGTCTTCTTTTATAAATCAGTTTGTCTCATTGCCTGTTGAATGGTAGGAAGTACAAAGAGAAAATGTGTGCAGTGTTCAGCCCAGCTCAGAGAGGAGGACACAGCTCTTATTAACACACTTACTGAAGTTATGTGCGACTTTTCGGTCTAACATGATGTGCTGATTCACTGAAGGCTCATTGCCCGAAAATACTGCTGCGTCCTGGATCTGGAACTGTTCACAGAGCCTGGATACATCAATTTTCTTCTTACATGGGTCACGTGATCCCCAGACAGATTTGTGAATCTAAAAATATAGGAGTGACACAGGGTAAACAGAAAGCCAGAACAGAGGCACTTTGTTCCATCCAAACACAGAGAAGGGCATTTTGTGGCACAGCTGTACTTCTATAACTATAGATGTAACACAATATATACAATTTTTTTTTTTAACAGCCACCATCAGTTTCATCCTCACCTTATCAGAAGGAACAACATCCCAGTGAAAGGCTTTGGTTCTCTTTGCTGCTGGAGAGAGGCTGCAGGGCTGTGGAAGGGCAGGAGGGGCTGGTGGTACCTCTGCCCTACTTATGGGAAGTGGAAGAGATGGTGATGCTGGGGCTCCTTCCCCCTCTGCAGGCTTTGTCTGGGGGCTTGGAGACTTGTTCAGACTGGTCCTTGCAGAACTCACACCAAAGGGCAGAGTCTCCTCTTTCTGTTCATTCAGAGGTACAATAAATTCCTCATAATCACCTTCAGGGGAGGTGCATCCTTGAGATCCCTCCTGAGGTGGGGAGGCCCCCTGGCCCAGCTGACAGTACCTTTCCAGGAGAGACACCCACTCATTCTGGAGCTTGCCAACATCCTCTGGCCTGCTGTTTTGGACAGTAAAGGGTATTCGAAACCTGAAATTTAAGAATGTCGTATATAAACACGAGGCAGTGTAAATAACATGCTGACTGACACAGCCACAGATAGTTCTGATTTAAGCAGAATGATGTTCAGCACCTTTACTTGTCAAAGCAGCCCAGTGCTGCTGACTCTGACCTTTTCAGGCAAAGTTAATTGCTTATGTGTCTAAGGTTAGGGAGCTGAAGTTTTGCCATATATTGACTTTGTGGTGCAGTTACCTCATAATTCCTCCTCTCCACCTTGGGGGAAGGTGAACAGTTTGTTACACCTTGCTGTGCTTGTTGCACAAGCAGAACCTGCTCACACATCTGTCCTACCAAGCTGAATGTGCATCTCCCCTGGCTCCTGCCATGACAACTAGACAAGTTGCTGTGGGCAGTATTTCAGCTTCATGATGTGGCACTTTTGATTCCTCCTGAAAATTCTCATCAAATCACTGCAAAGCAATGGGAGCAGGAATCTATATAATTCTGATGGCCTCATTTCTCCAGCATTGTTATTTTAGTCTGAAACATTGAGGCCCCCTGCTGCTTGACCTTGTTTTCAGTACTTCTGCGTTAATAAATTATTAATTACCAACTATACTTACAAATAATTGTGATCTTTGGTCTGAACTGAAAAGGTGCTGCATCCATTCTCCTTGCTGACACTCACATCCCCACCTGACAAATTAATTGTGTTGGCTCCAGGGTCTGTAGTCCTGCTCTTTCCTCCCAGACCTATGCAATATAAAGTCAATTCTCCTTCACGTAGTTGCACCAAGTACCTGAAGGACAAGGAATGGACATACAGCTCATTCTTCATTGACTGCTTAGTTACACAAGCTTTGCTTTATTAAGGTACTTCCTAAAATCAATAAATCTCCACATTTTTACAGCATCTTCCATGGGACAGGCAAAAAGTATCAATGCTAAACCATAAAGGCTTTGAGATATTCTTATTTGAGGGCTTCTTATTCTTATCTGACACATAAGTAAACTGACACCAACTCTGAACAGCCTGCCATGCCCAATGAGAGCTGAAACAAAGATCTGACCATCAACTAAAAACCACCCAAGTCCTGTTAATTTTTTAGCCACGCTCTGTCCCTCCCACTCCACTTATTCCTCTTGTTTGGGAGGGTAGATCACTTGGACTATGAGCTTTTAAAGGAATCCCCTGTGTGACTGAGCAGTACATAATAAGACAAGGCTTCAGAGCTTCTGTGTCTTCCAGGTTTCACTGCCCCCAAGCTATAAACAAGTCACCAAATGTAGTTCCCAGTCATATAGGCCAATATTCCTCCCTCCCAAAAATCCTATTACTCCATGGGAACTCAGGCTGGTCCCACAAGTCACTTGGCAGGAAAGGAACAAGGCTCAAGGGCTTCCATCAGAAATGACCATGCCAAAATTTGGGTAAAACCTACTTAAAGGATAAATTAATCCTGGAAAAACACTGCCTTGACCATACACAGCTTGTAATTCAGCAGAACCTTCTGCTTTAGTCTCCTCTCTGGGATTCTGTTCTGCTGCTCAAAACAGAGGTTCCCCATTCAAGAACAGATGAGGTTTTACTGTATATGGGGTTTATTCTTATTTAAGCATTTGTGGTTTAATTTTTCTTGAGGATTTCTGCCTTTCTTTATCATTCTGACAGTTCTATCAAACCTTCCTTTTCCTCCACTCTCTCTTTAAGGTGTGGCTGGTTGATTAAGGTGTTCTATGAGGAATTTAAATAAGTTTAGCTGCTCCAGAAGAATTAAACATAAAATATAAATTGCATCTATTCCCACATAAACAGTTAAAGTGATAAGAATTGTTTAATGGAGCTGGCAGTTATATTGATCTCTCCTTTCTTTAAGGCAGAGACTTATAGTTTAATTGGATCTCCAGATGCTTCCACCATTATTTACTTGGCCAAAAAAAGCAAAAAAAAAAGGAAAAAAGAGAGAGGATTAATATAAAGAAGAAAGCAACAAGGGCTTTGCTTCACAAGATAGATAAAAATCAATTTTTGTTTGTTAACAAACTTGTTAACTGTTGCAAGGTAACAAATCCTGGACACACTTGAGGATAGTGTTTACAAGACATGCAGGCGTAGCCTTTTAAAAACAATTAAAATCATTTTCTGTGGAGGGTGTTGAGATAATTGCTCCATGCAGATAAGTACAATGTTAAATTTTTTTCCTTAGTTTTGCCAGACAGACTTTTTCCCCCTCTCTCTTTCTCTCCTTTGATAGCATAAGCAGTTTCCAGGTATTTTAGGAGCTGGCTCAGGGAAGGGTGATTTGTCTGTGGAATGGGGAGCAAACTGTGTAAAACCACTGGGGCTGCTTCACTAATCCAGCAACAGAACAAGCAGAAGCAAAAGCTGTGCTGATCTGGGATGGTTTAGGGGCTGAAATGGTGATGACAGCCCATTTCCTACTGAATAATGATTCCTGTCTCCAATCCCACCACCCCATCAGGCCTCCATGGCTGGTCACCCCCCAGGAGGGGAGTTCAGAACATTATGAGAAGGAATTATGAATTTTGGGGCAGCCATTTGGCCAATGTGAGTCAATGTTCTCTAGAAGGACTCTTATACTTCTCCAGCGTCTTCTTGTCCTTATTACAGAGAATGGAGGGAAAAATAAAGATATAAACATAAAGTCCCACCATTAAAATCTCCCTGAGCACCATCACCATTACAGATTTGTGTTGTTGATGGACCCAGCAGGCTCCAGCACACACCAGAACTTTGGTTTGTTGGGACCACTATTGCACTGAAAGTTTACTTTAATTCCATCTCATGCAGATTTGCCATCCACCTTTTAACTTTCAAGAGTAATTAAATAATTAACTCATTATCAGCAAATTAAAGTCTTAATGCATTTATCAGAAATTTTAACGAAATCCACAGCCCAGAGTTCATACTTCACCCATTCAGTGGATGCAAAAGTGTTTTGCTGCAAATCCAGAAGCCCTTCATGTATCACATCCCATTCTGCAGGTCTCCCAGAGCAGGATTCCACTGGTCTCTTGTATGAATTGCTCTGTAAAACTCTCCTCAGGAGGTATATTATCTAGATAAAAAGTGGCAGCAGAGAGAGAATATTTTCCATGTTAATTCCCTTGAATAAGACATCAGTAGTTGGATTTTTCAAGTCCAAAGATGACAGACAACACTCTAAGCTGCAGCCAAATATGTAAAACAAATGAACATAAAATAAGTAATTTATGCTAAACTACTTAACTGCAATTTGGCTTTATGCCCACAATTCTAAACCCACCAGTGTAAGGAGAATACAATTTTATTTTGGAGGGATTACTGTAAAACTTTACTTTTTTAACTCATACACAAAGCAATCTAGGACAAAGTGTCTGTTCAGATCAGTTCAAGTCCAAGTAGCACCTGATTGATTAAGCTGGAAACCTCAGACAAACCCAGTACAAAATGAAGGTTTGGCTACAGTGGAAAATATTATGGATTAAGGTGAGTGTGAATTTAAAGAGCTCTTTGTGCTGTACAGGGCCATATCTGATGTTCTTATTACTAAATACATGTTCCTTTTTGAACTCTTCTGCTCAATAATCTACTTTGAACAAAATTAGGCTAATCAACCACGAGGTTCTGCTCATCTGGAAGAAAGGTTTCTGCATGTGGGGTGAATCCCTGGGTTTTGCAGGGAATTAATCCTTCTGAGGAAAAAAAAGCCCCCTAAGAATGAGTCACAGCAGAAGTTTGGATGCAAATTCTTCCATGAGGTTTAAAATTTGTACCTCAGTCTAAATTGTGCAGGATGGATTCAACAACACAGACTCCAAGAGCTGCCCACCCCTGGACACCTGCATTCAGGTGAAAAGCTCATGACTTGGCTTTCTCATGTTTCAGTAGAACTCAAAAGGACCTGAAATCTCAAAGTGAAGCAGCTCATACAAAATCTCGCAACACTGCACCATTTAATTAAACAATTAGTTGTACCTAGACTTCATTCCTCTGCTAATTGTGTCATTTCAGCTTCTTTTGATGGTGAAAGATTAATTACTAGGTCTTCTTTTCACAGCATCAGGATGACCTTGTTCATTCTTAAAAGCAGGCATTTTAAGAAATACCTTATGCAGAGAATAAAAAGTGCTTAGAAAGTTTCAATTAAGATTCAACTGTGCACATCATCAGGGTTTTTTTGCTTGTTTTCATCCACTCTCAGAGGGGTTACATTCCAGGTGTAGTTGCAGAACTGCATCCACTTTCATATCATGTCTTGAGCTGGCTTTACATCTCCAGTCCCAGTGAACTGTGCCCAAATCCTAAGGCCAAACTTTATCTTGAACTCCCGTTCCCTTTGTTCTGAGCACAAACACACATGGAATAAAGACATTTCTCCTTTTTTGCTCGCACAAAGCACAGCATAACAATGATTGGGACCTGCTGGGTACCACCAGCACATCAACTGTTATTTATAGCAATCTGTCCATGGCATTGTAAAAACTTACCTTCCTTTTATCATCAAGAGACACAGCTTCCAGCTCATAATCTTGTCGCCCATGAAACACAATGCTGAAGCGCCTCCTTTCAGTGTCTTCACAGGCTTTGACTTGAGAGAAAGGGAACTGCTTCTTAATAATTCCTTTTTCAATGTTAAAAATGGTCCTTGTGTTGAAATCAATCTGGAATAGAAGATTCTTCATTACTTGACTCCATCGCTTCTTGTCACAGAAAGGCAAAGACAATATCCCAATATCACCATGCAAAGACATTTAGGGAAAGGACCAGCTCAGAATAAATAGGATAAAAAAAATGACATTCCATCATCAAGATGGAATTACCATTGTATGGTAATACAATATTTGTTTTAGTTACAAAGCAGATATTCCATGCAGCTGTGTTTCCCTGTCTCTTTTGATGAATATGTATCAATTTAGCACTCTGAAACATTACTCGTTTTTAAATTCCCCATGTCTCATACAACCCAGTGCAGAATCTTCCCATTCAGCAGCAGTGGTAGCAAGAACTAATGGCAGGACCATCTCAGCAGAGGTTCAGTTACTCCTTCAGCCTGTGCCCCAGCACTGAAATGCTGTGAGGGTGGTTATAGCAGCAGCTTCCATGTCAGGAAAAGAGGGGACTGTTGAGGGATTACTTTCTGATATAAATATTACTGTGTTTTGATTTAAATCTTACCTAACATAGAGTTTTTTGTCACAGAATCACAGAACGGTTTGGGTTGGAAGGAGATTAAAGAACATTCCATGCCACCCCCTGCCATGGACAGGGACACCTTCCACCATCCCAGATTGCTCCAAGCCCTGTCCAACCTGACCTTGGACACTTCCAGGGATGGGGCAGCCACAGCTTCTCTGGGCAACCTGCGCCAGGACCTCACCACCTTCTGAGTAAAGAATTTCCTCTTTTAGTTTAAAACCATTTCCCTTGTGTTCTCTTACTACCTGTCCAATTAAAAAAATCCCTTCCTCCCTATTTTTACACATATATATGCGTGCAAATAAATGGAGTAATAATAGCCAATAAAATTACTTTAGTGCAGTTTCATGGCTATAACAATTAAAAATTGTTTGCTTTGAGATGAGATCCTTCTTCTTCCACTGCCCAATCTATATTTGCAGGGCTAAAAACTTGTATGTGCTGACCATGCCAACCAAATGCCCACACTGTGGCCTTTCCCTGCCTTCTGTTTATAGCTGGAAACCTTCAAAGCAGAACCATTCTCATTATTATCTCTGACTTTTGAAGGCTGCTGTTAAACTAGAGAAGTGAAATTAAATGACTCCAGATTCACAGATTGATAACTTCCACATCTACTACAGCTCTCTCCATTTTTTCCATCAGTTTTATGTCTAAAGAAATAATCTTTTAGTTCCAAAATGTGGTGGATGTTGAGGGAAATAAGGAGATTATACTTTCTTCAGTTTAGATGTAGTAAATAAAAAATACCCTCTAGCATATGTGATTTGGACTTGCTCATTTTTAAATTTTGTCAAAACTACAGGAAAACTCAGTGAAATCCAGGTCCCTGGAAACAACATGAATCCTTTGTCCCTGACTTCATGGAATCACCATCAGGTGTTGTCAACACAAGTTTGCTTTAGTATCATGCAAGTCAATAAAGTCTTAAGGGTTCATGATAACCAAAAAACGATTCACAGGGTAGAGTAACCAGAGACAAACTGCACAGTCTGCCAAATGCACCTTGAGTATCCCAGGAATGTTTCTTCCCAAGGTTTTAGTGGGTGCAGTGGAAGTGATGTCCTGTCAAAAGGCACAGATATTTAGATGTGTTTACATCACTTGTATGCATTTACTCTTGGTAGTTAATAAGAACAACTCCCAGGCAGAGCCCATTATCATCCATCACCCTGGGGACAACTCATGTTTTGCAGTGGTGAAATAACCTCTTAGATCATCAGGTCCCCTCCACAGCCCTCCCAGGGGCCTCAGTACAGGGAATGTCAGGCATTACCCTCAGAATACTTCTGCTGTAAAAAGTAGAGATTTTTTTCACTATCTTACACCTCTCTGATGGGCTGCTGAACCACGGGATTTTTTTAAGCTGTCCACTAACATTAACCCAGCAACTTCAGCATAATATATTTTTATGTATTGCTCCAAAAGGGATGATCTTTCAAGTTACCTGCAAAATTCGCTTCTGCCACCGATAGTGTTTGTATTTGTAGATAATGAAGTTAAATTGTGATCCAGTTAACAAATCCTGGGAATCCTGAAAAACAGAACAGAAATCAGCCATACATCCAGCTCTGGGCTAATGTTTGTCCACTCAAATCCAAACACATTCTCAGGTGAAATGTCCCTCAGTAGACAGTGTTTAAACAGCTCTGGAGGCTCTGGAGAAGAATTGCACATGGAGATGCACAGTAGCATCCTCCTGGCCTTTTTTAATTACATTAACAAAGATAGAGAGAGACTGTTTGCAAGGGTATGGAGCAACAAGGGGAAATGGCTTCACACAGGCAGAGAGTGGGGTTAGGTGGGATATTGGGAAGAAATTCTTCACTATGAGCATGGTGAGGCCCTGGAACAGAGAAAATGTGGCTGCCCCATCCCCAGAAGAGTTCAAGGCCAGGTTGGAAGGAGTTTGGAGCAACCTGGGATAGTTGCAAGTGTTCCTGCCCCTTTTGAGGCATCTACACAGAATATCCATTCCACAGGACACAGGTACCATCAGCCATCAGTACATGTCCTGTTTTGTTAGAAACTTGAGTGCATGTGTTTGCACAAGCTGGGATTGTACCTTTGAAAACAGTACAGACATGCTCCTAGTGCTCATACATTTGAATATCTCGCAAAATAGATCAGAGGGGTGACCTTACCTTCTCAGTATACACCTCCTTCTGTGCCAAATGCAAAGCCCCCTCAATGCTCACTTCTTTATTTTTCACCATGTTCATAATTCTGAGGATCTTTTCCTGGCTTAACTGGAAAATAAAAAAGTCAACCAAATGTTTTTAGAGACTGCTTTTTCATGTGGATGTGGAGGACGCAGAGGGCTCGTGACAGTTACAGCTCTAGCGTCTGCCATAAAATTACAATTTCATTCATATTTTATGTTCTATCGACAACCTGCCCAGCAAATAGAAACTCCCTTTGAAACCTGGCAAAAGTCCACAAGATAGCAAATACACAGGAGTTTTTACAATTTTAGGGGATGGGGTGGTAATATCTGGAGATAAAACTGCCGGGGGAAACCTTTTTTAGTTAGAGTCTGGCAAGAAGCGAAAACATCAATTTTGCATGCTCTCCTGTGTCTTACCCTGAGTGTGAAGTCCTGCATACCAGATAACTTGAAAATCAGGAGCATTTTGAAATTTTCAGGGTGAAGAGGGGGTAAACTGTTGTTGGTAGCAGGAGGTGCAGCTGTCACATGAACTTAGTGAACCACGTTAACGAGCCGGTGTTACACTTCCCCTTTCTTTTACCAAAACAGCTTCATGTGCTGCCAACCAGCTTACACACAAATTTCTGTCACTCTTGAGAGAACCAGGTGGGGATTGCAATGGCAAACAGGAATCAAACAAAGAAGAAAGGCAAGTGGAGTCACCAGAGACCCAGAGCTACAGCTGTTACACCACTGGCAAAGCTCTTTCACAGACTTTGTAGCAGGAATAAACCTTCCTTTGAGACAGACCAAAGAGCTCCCGTGTGTGATATCCATTTCTCAACAGCAGCAGAACTGGGAATTGGAAAGGAATGTGTAGGTTTTACCACCAGAGCCCAGAAACTTGTGATATTTTATCTGGTAGCTCCACTACTCAGTTAGCTACAGCATCCAATGTTCCCCTCCCCCGGGAGAACAACTTCACCACCAGGAGAGGAGTTACTGCCGTGAAGTCTTTCTTTGCAATCATCCTTTTCAAACTCTTCCAGGTGGGCATCCAGGCAAACAGCCCACCCCAGGCTGTGCAGGAGCAAGAGGAAGGGGCAGGAGGCTTGGGAAGGAGCTGGAGCTCACAAGGCACCTGCCCCTGCTACGTCTCTGCAGAGGGAGCATCCTCTGCTAAACAGCCCAGCAGCACAAGATCCTCTCAGAATCACAGAATCATCAAGGTTGGAAAACACCTCCAAGGTCATCATCCAACCTGTGACCCAGCCCCATCTTGTCACCCAGACCAGAGCACTGAGTGCCACGTCCAGTTGTTCCTTGGACACCTCCACCCATCCAAGCACCACAGCCACCTGACACAGGTCTGATGGGGCACATAAAAATAACCAGTCCCACCCCAGAGGTGGTAAATCCACATATTCTCTCCCTTTATTCAAACCATGCTACAGCAACCACACTTCAACCTACCAGATTTCTCAAATCTGAACCAGCGTCTGACCGACAGACACACTGTTTTTACAGCCCACAAATAAAACCGGGAGTAAAAGAAATATTTTGGTTTTAAAAAGCCTTGGAATTTTCAATGCTAATATAAAGGTAACTTATGGCATAGCTCCTAGCTGCCAACAGTAATGTGAACATTGAGGGAAGCAGGAAAACAGCCTGATAATTCATTCACACTTGCAGAGGCACAGGAGTTTCCTACAATGACCTCCACATTCGGTATTTGAATTTTAAACGGCCATATATTTACAACCTCACATGCACCGAGTAGGATTAGATCTTAACAAGATAATTCCCCACTGAACAGGCTCTGGGTGAGTAAACAAGAGTATGGATATATTTGGATTGAAAAATATAGTTTCCTTAAGGCTAAGCTCTGCCAGCTTTAAAATGCAAGATCCTATTTATTCAGGCTAGCAGCTCTTGAGAGGAAGTTGTAGAGTATTTTTGCCTGTTAGGTCTTTTTACATGGAGAAGGGTTCAAAGATTTTTGCAGCAGGATGACAATTTTTTTTCAAATTTAATTTTTAATATAATTTTTTCCTTTAAAAAAAGGCACATTTGGCTCTGTGTAGTACTGTGTAGTACTCAACTCTTCATTCTTCTTACCTTCACCGAGGTCTCCTTCAGACTAGAATAAAATTCTGCCCAAGACATGAAAGCAACAGGGAACAGCTCTTAATTTGCTTGATGATGTATGAAGAAAACAATGTTTACAGGAGAGAAACAAATAATTCTATGTATTTCAAATTCAGAGAGTTTAGTTAGGAACTTAGACCACTGACAGAGTCCCTTCCCCAGAGACCACACGAGGCAGTGCTTGGGGAAGGTTATTTTTAACAGCACTCTGTTGTTTTACTGCCTCTGTTAACTCTCTTTCTCTCTGCACATCTGTAAGCAGGAGGGAAACATTTCAAAAGACAAGAGAGGCAAAAAAGGCACTTTTCAGCTTATGAGAACTGTCAAAATTATTTGTCAGAAGTCTGTTTGGCTCAGGTTTTTGACAGCCACACGTTAACATGGTATTTTCACTTGCAAACAAGACTTGAGTAACAGATCCTGACCTTTATCACTGTGTATTTGTAGGGGTTTTCTCTCAGCATGACACGATTTTTGTAGTGTTCATTCTCGTGTTTGTTTTGGTTATATTTTTTTCTCAAAAGGAAAAAAATTTTGTCATATTATCCACCAAAATGCCACTAAATCAGTCTGTGCTATGTTGCCTGATAGAACGTGACTGGAACACCCAAGCAGAATGTTTTTATACAAGGCTGGATCACAAAACTTAGAAAAAAATTAAATGCTTCTATTATAAAGCAGGCATATTAAGGAAATACATGAGATTGTGTTAATAATGCATTCATTTACCTGCCAGGTTAAAGCAGCTTGTTTAACACAGATTAAATTTTCATCACCCACCCAAAATTCAGCACAGCCACGCAAGTGATTTGAAACAAAAATCAGCATGCACAATTGAAGGAAGAGTCTGGGGCTCCAGACATTCTCTGGAACGAGAGGTGAGGTTTTTATATTTTTGGCCTAGGCATGGTATTAAATGTGTTTAATGGTGAGACAGGAGATTTCTGGCTTATTCTTGGGCAGCTGCCAACACAGCACTGCACATGAACCCTTCCAGGGCTTCCTGCCCCTCTCCATTTACCCAGCACAGTCTCACTGGAGCCCTCAGAGGACCTCCTGGAAGGTTTTGCATGTAGTCTCCACACCATGGAAACATCCCTGTAATGACTCCACAAAGGTCCCCTGACCTTCCTGGGACTAAATCAAGAAAGAAGGGTTAAAGCCACATCATCTGAGCCATCCACAGTTGACTGAGCAAGGCAGTGGAAGGCACACAGGATATGGGTAACTGCTCAAGGATAGCACAGCAAACATGTTCCTCTGCCTTTTCTTTCTGACTCTCAGCCTTTAAGACACACTTGTTCACACCACCCAGGCAGCCACAGGATGGCTGTGACTCCTGTGCACTCACCTGAGACACCTGAGCTTCTCCAGGGGGGGCAATTCAACCTGCCTTGATATCTGACAACTCTTTCCCTTCGCTACCCACAGAGGAATTTGAGCTACATGGCTTTTACTCAGCTCATCCTTATTCTGTGGACCATCCTGCCCGAATCATCATAATATGACAGCAGTCTAATGCAAAAATACTCCTGGAATGTGTGCACATGCACACCCAGAACCCTGGCTGCCAGTGAGCCCTGCACAGGATCACAGTCACTGCAAACACTGGCACAACTCGCTGAGACAATATTTCAGCATTATTTAGGAGCAGATCATAGCTAATGTGCACCCAGCTCTGTCGTTTCCTGTAACAACAAAACCAAGCCATGCAGAAATCCTGCTCCCTGTGCAAATGAGGAGTGATTTTTATTCAAGTCTAGTGAAGCTTTTCGCTGTTAAGGATTCCTTACACTTGTCCTTGTTAAACATTAACAGTGCTGAACATCCTCATCTGCTCGCTGCAAGGAGCAAGAGACACAGCAGCTCCTGGCTGTGCAGGGCCCAGAAGGGAGGGCTGGCCTCAGGGAGCCTGTTCCTCACACTCTGTGCTCCACAGCATCTCCCTTTCAGCCCTTCTCAGGTCAGTGCTCCAAGGGGGCTCAATACAAGAGAAAAAGGTCAAGCAGTGGCTACATGTTGCTTTACAGAGAACTCATGAACTTCTGGGCATCAATCTGAATGCTGGTGTTGTCCACGCAGCCAGAAATATCCTGGATTAACATACACACTTAACATCTTTTATCCAGCACCAGGTCATGTTTTCATTCATTTTGGAGTCTGTTTTTTTAATATAGCTTTCAATAATAGAAGATTTTGGTTTCTATCCAGAACAGCAGGATAAAATGTCTTTGAGGTAAAGCCTTCTGAGGATTTTCTGTTGACTCAGTGCCTCACAGCTACAGTGCACAACACTTTCTGCTAAGCAAGTAGAGTAGAGAAGCTTGAAGCTAAGAGTTGGGATGTGATGCAGTGATTGACCTGTGATGAAATTTTGAGTAGCTACTTCCTTTTCCAAGCTGTGCTTCCAAAGAAAACACTTACTATTTTTTGTTAAATCAAAGGCACTGGCTTACTTTACAATGGATTATGCTGAACTCACTCTGCCTGCATGTTGAACATGTCATTTAAGAGATTTTAACGGCAGTGGACACAACTTGGATTGTCTTAAAGTTCCAGTTTGGTGTTATCAACTTTCATCTCTTAATATATTCACTTTTGTCAGGTTTGAACTTGGCCCAGAGTGCACTGAGTGCTCCCATTTATTTACAGGGGAGTGGCTGTTTCCTATGTCTGGGTAGCTGAGAGGCCTTCACTGGCCATCTACAGGGAATATCAATACAGGTGACTGATGTGATATTTTGATGTGGCAATACCATCTTTTGTAGCCGGTCCTAGAGACAGACTAATATTATTTGTCAAAGAGAGCTGCTATTCGTCACATAAATTATCCATCTGTAATAATGTTTTGCATTATTTGTTCAGGTCTGTATCTGGCTGAATAATATCTGTCAACATTTATCCAGAGAAGAAGGTATTCATCAAACAGTAGCTTGATTTCCTTGAAAACAC